AGCATCAACTCCCTACTAACAATAATAATGTTAACGATCTTTTGCTGCCACTATTTCCTTCACCAGAAGAAATCACATCACATGAAACTGAATCTCTATCTCAAACATGCAGGACTTACAAGAGCTCAACAAAAAATATATTTATATTCCCTTATATTAACCCCTTGATCCATCAAAAGAGAAATTTTCGAAAGAGCGAAACGGTTTGGACCACCCAATCAAAGATTAAAGCCTGCAGTTTGAACAGCTCTGTTGTCTTCAGTTCTGTAAAAGCCATATTAAAACGCACAATAGTAGAATTATCGGCAAAAGAAAACACAAGCATTTTGCCAAAGATGAGTATTGATATAAATGTTCAATCGATAATCACGTGAAAAAAGCAATCGCATCAGCGAAAACAATTTATACAGAGATTCCATGTCCATTCACTTCGTCAGGCAAGAAGTGAGCACAGGACTCAGAAAATTAAAAGTCACCGCGTGATTGCCAGCAGAGACCAAATTCATAAGAAATTATACAAAAACGCAGATTTCCGAAAAGACATGAACTAGTAACCCTCTGATTCTTGAGAGTCTTGTACATTTAACTCGCACGAACGCACCGAAGAGGTGGGTAATCCACAGGATTAGGATGGGAAAATGATAAGAAACCGGGAGATTTAAAATATAACCTGTCCGGTGGCCAGGATAACAGGATCACTCATTAGCTCTTGAGATATGGGGCATCGAAATTCGGGGGGAATAGACAAATCATCGAATTTCTGAGGGAAGGAGCCGGTAGATTTACATTTCAAATCCTTGAGAGCAGAAAGAGTCGTGATAGCTTCGTCTAGTCTGGCCAGCGGGAAATCCTCGGCGTCCAGGATAATATTGACGAGCCCCCGCAACTTTTGTTTCAAATCCAAAGCCTTTGCATGGGGAAACAGGGTCGAGTCGTAATCAGAGACGCCTATCTTTGCCATAGTGAGAAGAAAGCAAAGGGGATGAGGAAAAGGGAAGAGATGATGAAGGATGGAGGAACTAAAGGGGAAGAGCAGGGAAAATAGAGAGGGAGGGCAGGTCGTGCTTCATTATCTTGCTGCTCGGTTTGTGTTTGCTTGCTGGATTGCAACTTCTCCGATGCTAGAAAATAGCCCAGAAGCAGCAGCATAACGAGTTGGATTTGGGACTCCTCTTCTTTCGAACCAGCTCGTTGCGTTTGCGTACAAAGCCATCGCAGCCACTCACGGATATGCATATGCCATTGGCGTGCTATGCAATTCTTTCTTTATTTATCCCTCTAGAATTCTTCCTTCACACCCGCTTGATTTCGGATTTGTCTCTAGCGTGATGGTTTTTTCAGTGGATAACGTAAATATTCTGGTAAGTGCTCTTTCGGTAAGACATGCTTCTAAAACCCTGAAGCTAAACACGTTCTCGGGCCAGCTCATCAAATTTTTTTGCTTTACCCAGAAAAAATTAACCACTTTCAAGTTTTCTTAAATAAGCTTGTTTTTTTTAATTATCAAAACGATAACATTAAATTTGAATTTTTCTTTTGTAATATGAGAAGACATTTAAATCAATATGTAATATAGAATTTACAAGTCATAACAAGCACAGAAATGCTACGGATTTAAATTTTAAAAAATTGTGATTTTGTGGAACTATGTTTTTATAATATTTCTCCACAAATGAAATTATTTAAATGGTAGAAAAATAAGTTAAATAATTTTTGGAATTTTGAATTGTTCCTTCTTCCATGTGCTGAAGGAAAAAAATGAAAAATATAAAAATATTACTGATTTGATTAGAAAAAGCATTTTAAGTATATACATTTGAATTGGTGCGAAAAAAAAAGTATACACATTTAAATGCCTAAATTTTCTTATGATAATTTCAACAAAATTTATATATGTATAGTATATTGCATAGAAGAGATATATATATATATATATATATTCATGAGTTAAAATTGTGAGAAATCTAGGCAACTGGAATGAATGGATTATCAATATGATTTCGTAGAGCCACTTAATTAAGTTGAATGAGCTGGGCCATATTGAAGCCCCCAGCATGCAGCAATGCGTTGATTTTTTTTTTTTTTTTTTTTTACTTTTTGCGATGTTGACTGTCAATGAGCATGTTTGGGTTTTGGAGAATGTGTTTTGTCTGGAGTGTATATAGAATTGGAAGGGTTTGATTATTACCCCTGATTAGGAGTTCGTATTTTTCTTTTTTTAACTTCGTCCTTCTTTAATATTAATCGTTAACTATTTGATTCTCATTATTACTTTTTTTGGACAAGTAATTTTGAAACATTCTCAAAAGAATATTTTAAGTAAAAAAAATAAAATTAATCATCCTCAAAGATTTGTAAAATGTCTTACATATTAAAACACAAGACTGAAAAAACAAAAAACAAAAAACTCTTATAATAGAAAACAGACAGGGTATATAGGAGTTTAGAAAACATGAAAGGTACATCAGGGACTCAGCATCAATATATGCTCTCGCTCGCTCGCCAATAGCCCTTCTAGGCCTTGGTTTGGCTACCTCCCTCACTACATCATCAAATAATATTTATAAATTGGAGCAACTTTCTTACTTAATTGATTAGTTTTTTAGACTTATATTCATGATATTGATACTTTTATTAAGTGATTAGTATTATAAAAAAAACTATTTATAAAAAGTTTTGACAAGCAAGAGACTTGATGAAATTTTACAAGATAAAGTTATCAAAGATATCGGCTCTTGAACAAGGTGATATTGTCATAAATCTCACACTGAAAAGCTTCACAAGTTGAGGGGGGGTTTGAGTTCAAAGAATTCTCCCACCTATTAGGTTAATTTTTTCAGATGAGTTATAAAAACATTGACTTTTGAATGGGATGATATTATTATAAGTTTCATATCGAGAGCTTCACAGATTAAGAAAAGTTTATAAATTTAAAAAATTCTCCCACCTAATAGATTGGTTTTTTGATGAGCTTTCCCTTTAAATTTTACTCACAACATTGTAACGTTCTTTTCTAACATATGAAAGATCATTCAAATACGTGCAGCAGGCGAATAAGGCTGAAGACTAGCTTCCTCCTAGGAGCTCATGGCATTGAATGAAAATTTCGTACGTTCATGATCCACCTTAGCATTGTAAAATGCTTGTTTGTCATTTTTTGTTTTGTATGAACCTTTTTGCCATCTCTCTGGTCTTTGGATGAAAAAAAATGTGAATCTAAAGCGCAGGGGAAATGAGAATGACATGGACTGAAGGATAATAATACTACAAAAAGCTCTTCAACTTGCGGAATGAAAATTAATGTCTTTTTTCCCTTTAAAAAAAAGCCTATGGACCAAAATGCCCTTTCTCGATTGAAAATAAAGTAACCTTTAGGAATTAATGGCCTAATGTAAATTCAATTGTAATACACAACTTTTTTATATTGTTGTGTAATTTGAATTTTAAAATCCAAAAGTTGAATTTCAAAAACAAGAATAATGCAACTGTAAATCATAAAAGCCTACTTACAATTAAGCTTTCGATTTTTACAAATAACTAAATAAGAATCTAATTTTCATAGGTCTTCCCAACCGTGTAGTGAATGTAGTTCAAATCCTGTTTGAATTGAAAAATTTAGATTTAAATTTTAAATTAAAAATTTATATATTTAAAATCCTTTCTTACTTTAGTGTGAAAAGCGTTTAAATTTTAAAAAACTAGAAAAAAGAAAATGAGAAATGAAAAGAAGAGAACAAGAGGTTCTCTCCTAATGATGCATTAACCTATACACTATCACTTCAAAGATGCGCTGTGAGGGGACATGGCATGTGATGAGACCATCACTTGTACTGAAACCAACATACTGCCCCTTTTTAATGAGTTCAGCCTTGCGAGTCCACAGTGTTTCCCTGGAAAACGAATTAAAAATTGGTAGAATTATAGTTAAGTCTTTGGCAATTTTTTTTAAATAAATTATAAATGTTAGTTTAGATAGTCATAAACAAGATCTAAAATTTACATTTCAAACTAGAATATTTTATCAGCGATTAAAATTTCTAAAATTAATGTCAACTCACTCTTCTAGAAAACATTTATTGATGATCTATTTGTCATTAATTTTTTTATCTGCCTATTTGGATAGAAAAATTAATCGATTTTAGAGGCAAAATCACTGTTGAAATGAAAATTATCCAAACACCAAAACTTTGTGCTAATCGATTATGAAGCCATTAATGATTATTCAAATAAGCTATAGGTAATTATACCATTAGATTAGAATGTTAATTATTTATCAAAGATGACCTGCCTGATTTTAATTTTGTGCATAATGAAAGAAAAGATAAAATAAAGCATGAGAAAGATCATCACATTGATGGCTACTTACCTTTATCATTATCCATAACATTTTTATCAGATATGACTTATATTCATAATGTTATTAAAAATCAACTTTTATATTATCATTTTTATTCATTATTGTTAAATTAATATTTAATATTTAAGAATTAAATTTTTTTCTTTTATTAAATTTATTTAAACTGAAATATATTAAGTTACTTATTTACGTAAATTAAAATATTAATATTAATATAATTTAAATTTTTATAATTAATCAGATATATAATTTAAATAATATATTTTACTTCTTAAATAAAATTTAAAAAATTTAATAATATTATATACAAATTTATTGATAATTTAATTTTAAAAAGTAATGTTTTTTATAATAATTTACACAATTAAAATTAATTTTGACTAAATTATTTGAACATTTTTAATTTTGTTAATTAATTTCAAAAAACAATATCCAAAGATATTATATTATAATATAATCAATTATAATTAAAATTAATTATATTAATTAATTATTTTTATAATTAATTATACTCAGTTGAAATTTAAATGGGCTCAATATCTAATTGTCATTCTCCCTTAAAAACTCAAATGACCCAGGGAACCACATAATCTTTCACAGTGTAAAGCACGAAATCAAACAATAATAAGAAAGAACACACGAGTTTCAAATGCATTCTCAAGGCAGTGTGGTTTAGATTGATGTTCAAGTCTTTGGCAACGACGGCTCATCCAGTCACCAACAAACGCCCTCCCGTTTCGTCATCTGAACGGGAGCAAGTGTTCGTGAATTATGATGCAATTACATACAATTAAACAGTAGAACACATATACAGACACGGTACAAAGTTACATCAAATTTCTCAGACAGTAAGACCGTCAGGGAACTGGGGAGAAGCACAGCACTAGTTCAGGCCCCCTTCTGTGGCAAGGTTTCAAATGCAGAAACTGTGTTCTCAAATTTAATTCTATGGAGCGGAGCACCACTTTGCTTGATAGCACAAGCTGTCTTTTCTTCCAAGGGGCAGCGTGCTTTCAGCATAGAGAATACATGGTTGTTTAATCTCCTTGCTTTCTTCATTGCTTCCAGTAATGCATCCCATCCCTGTTGGCAGAGAAAATGTGAATGTGGTGATTACCATCACACAAGATATTGATTTTTTTTTTTTTTGAAAAAAGCATAGAAATCACCACAGATGTTTCTAGGTCTTCAAATCTATAATGAACTTAATTAACCACAGCTTCACTGCTAATTACTCATCTGATCTTGTGATGATTCAATAGTCCCCCCATCTGAGCTCTACATTTGATTTCTTCCATACGAGGTAAAAAGATCGCTTAATCATTACTCTACATCTGAATATTAGAAAATTCACGATGTCCTTTTATAAATTGTTTAGACATGATGCTAATTGGCAGACACTACAAAATGAAGCAAGCTACCAGAAATGTTAACAACAAACCGCCATCCATTTTTATTAGAGCTTAAATGCCGATCTATAGAACAAACAGAAATGCCTTAATCTAATAGATGAAAGCTATCAAACATAATTTATTCCTAGTTCAAGCAATCTAGCAATGTAAACCTGAACAAGAAAATGCGCGTTCTTATTTGTTTGAACCACAGATGCAGCCTCTACTTCTGCAATATTGAGGATCTGATATGAGAAGTCAAAGAGCTCAAAATGCAGCTGTTGCCCAAGCAAATATATTATGGTGCAACCACCCCAAGCCACCGAATCACCCAGCCCTTCGTAACTATTTGCTGGTACTTGGACAGATGCTTCTAAATATCCCTGCGTGGCTCAAGCATAACAACACTCATCAAAACAACTTTTTTCGCATGAAAAAAACTTGCGATTTCATGTACATATTAAACAATCAAATCCTGTCAAGTTAAAGTATGAATTTCACTATTTCAAAAAGGAGACATGACACTATTAACATAAATCCATAGTTAAAACTCTCAACAACAAACATGGACAAAATTTATATGTGAAGACAACAATGTCATAAAAATAGAAAATGGTAGTTGATGGTTCTCCTATAAAATTTGCTACGTTAGGAAGTAGAATGTGTGCGCCAAGTACTGCCATGAAAAGAATCAAATAAATAATTAAATGCTCTGAGTATATGAAAAAAAGTATGAAGGAACAGGATTATTTACGATTTGGAGACCACTATATATACGGTAGAAATCTTTAGTGGTTGTAATGTCAATGAAGCCTGTCTTGGGTACAGCACTCCATTTACTACAATATTTATCTAAAGCAGCACTTGTGAAAGCAAGGGCATACTCCAGCACACTTCCAGTATTCAAGTTAGCCTTGTATAAAAGATCTGTAATACAGTCAAAGATGCCTGATTAACAACTGCCTAAAACCAAACAAAAGGCAGAAACATGATATCTCTACAAGAAAAGAACTGATAAAAAGAATAACAGGAAATGCATTCCAGAAAACAACGAAGCATTATGAAAGATGCAATGCGAACCAAAAAAGAGCTTTCAAGAAAAGAACAAAAAAATGAAATGAAATAATTCATAACAGGATAATCAAAGGGACTTTTCTGTAGTCTGTCAAATCCACAAGCTGTAACATCTTTTGGGATAAAACCAACCTTTCAAAAATTACCTCAAAAGAGAATAACTGAGAAAGGCTTCACCCATGATGTAATCTCACCGATTCATTTCTCCATCACTTGGGAGGAAAAAGGTAGACACGGAAAACACGAGTGCTTTACAGTATTTTTCTTTTGAGAGTCAGAAAGTTAAAAGGGCAGAGAAGAACCAAATATCAGGAATGTCAGATTGACATGGTCTCATCTAAGATAGATTTTCATTATTTCCATGACCAGCAAGTGTGCTGACAAGACAACCAAGAAAGTTAAGACAAAATCTTAAAAACCTTTCAAGTATGAATTAATTGCTCTTTATATCATAAACAAAAAAGTTCCATTATTGCCATCAATCTTCCTGATCAAAACAACTTGCCAGCCAGCAATTCATTTTCAACCAACCTGATAAAACCCGTTTTAGTTTTAACTGGACAACCTAAAAATTTTCGTCATTCCCTCAACCTTTGGGCAATTCCTTATAGTCAATCATATGCCCTGGTTTACACCATCCCACAACATTTTTTTTTTTTTAGCATCAAGTGCATGTGCACATATTCCACTTCCAGTGCAATGGGAGTAAAAATAATAACGCATATCTAAAAATATACCTGCAGCTTCAGCCTGTTTTGCCATGATGTGGAAAGAATTAGGATTTGGGCATCCAAGGGTTGACACCATAGCAGCAGTTGTCGATTTAAAGAGACTAACAACAGGACTGTCTCCACCATCATGAGCATTTGATACTTGTCCGTCTGCACCAGGAACCAAGCCCAACCAAGAAGCAGTTTGCATGAAGTGCATTGTATCTGTTTCTCTCTGTCAGGCAGCCAAAGTAGCCCGCACAGCAAAAATGTTTCAGGAAAGAAATTGATGAGAAAAGAAACTAATAAGTCCCAAACCAATATTTCCACAGAAACAGCAATCAAGACAGTAATAACAATAAATGAGAGGAAAATGCTGAGGTTTTGATATTAATAAATTGAGAGAAACTGAATCAGAGTTACAAGTCTTCCTCTAATTCTGGCCAAAACCCTATCTCCCTTGAATGATCACAAAAGTAACAACATTACAAGCTCAAACCTCACAAGAGGGTTCACTCCTTCTGGCATTCGAGAGGCCAGTCTCTCCTTTCCCTTCTCTTACAAGATATCCCCTCAATACAAGCAAAAAGATTAAATATACCCTCAGCACGGACAGCATGGCTTCCCCCCCAGCCCATACCTCCCAAAAGATCTTAATTATGGCCAAAGATCCCACGCTACTGTTCCTTACGGCTAGAGACTGAAGGATAAACCTCTGGACCAGTCACCATTATTCTACTAGAGTCATTCTTTCCCTTTGACTTCCTTTGATATGTCTTAGTAAAATAATGAGGGGCTCTATCAGAAACCAATGTATCAAAAGAGGACAAGGAATTCTGCCAACACCCCCCCAAATTTGTAAAAAAAAAAAGAAAAAGCAATAATTTGCTCAAATGATATAGCTAATTCCTTTGTAAATCCATGTGGGAAAACCCGTGGAAAAACGTGGGAACCCCTTTGAAAAGCCATTTGCTGAAACTTACAGGGCAAGATTTGTACTTTTAACTCATTACACATTACCTAGCTGTTGTGCATAATATATATGAGAAATGTTTGCACATGTAGTTCTTCTACTTTTTTGGTGTATACGTAAAAACCCATGCATCCAAATTGAGTAGAGCCATATCATCATAATGCTGAACCACATCATTTTAGTATCTATGATCATTCAAGCTTATGGCAAGTTACCAACCAACACAATATCTAGAAGTCCCATCCAGTATAGTACACTTCCAATCTCTTTAATCCCACGGAGAACTTCTGTTTTCAGCTCAGCCTTTGTCCCCCAGTTAAGATGTTCTTTAACGAGTCTCACACAAGCTGCAAGAAAATAACCAAATTCAGTAACAGGCTACATAAAAGCATCATCATTGTTATATGACCATGAGCTCAAGATAATGACCATGAAATGAAAAAAAAAAAGAATAATAAAGATTTAAGATGCACTAATACCTAATAAAGATCCAAAATTTATGATTTATCTTAACAATTGTATACAAGTGTCAAAATTCAGGATCAATGGTACAAAATTGATGAAGATGTTATGCATAGGATATAAATTGGGTGGTTGGCATAAAAAAAAGACATAAGGAGTTTTCGACATGTTGACATACCTGTCACACCTCCATCAAAAGGCAGAAGTCCAATAGTTTTCGGCAATGATTCTTGCAATCCAGTGATCATTGGTTCAATCATAGTTATCTGAGAATAGCACACATAAAATTTTACTGACGCATGGTTTTTTTTTTTTTAACCCCAGATCCAAATATTTGGAAACACAAGGATGCATTTGCATACACTGTATGCATACATGTATGTCTGTCAGTCCCCTACATGACAACCATCTATATATGACCTTCATCAGTCAATATTTTTAATCCTCCCCACTTCTCCTTTGTTTCAGTCACACTTTGAAAGCCCATCAGGATATTACAGAAGTTAGATGATCTGACTAATAAGCTTATTTATACAAGCATTTGGATGGAGACTAGGGTAGTATGAGATGCCTAAGTGTAGAAAATCCTGATAATCAATCTGTTTTTGATGGGATTAATTTCAATTTATCATAATCCCTGATTCTTCTCTGATCTGACCGTTGCAATCAGATTTTATTGCTGTCGCAGATTTGTAGATGTGTAGGCGTATATTAAGTGATTTGAAGGATTCTTCTACTATATATATTGCATCATTCAGCTCTTGTAAATAATATACATTCAGTTTTTTGATTCTCCACTCACATGGTATTAGAGCAAGAGGGAGAAATCAAGAATTTACTCACTTCAAAAGACGATGATGTGGAGGCACAAGGGGAGTCGCATGGTCCAAAACGCACCGCGACTGAAACCAAGAGCTCCAATGGTTTGAGTCCAAGTTGACGCCAAGGAAGGGGGTCGAGCGCACCACAGAGTCTGCTGTCCTCATCGTGCCAGAGAAACTCACTGGCAACAACTACCAAGAATAGGTGCAATCTGTGAAGCTAGCCAGGGAAGGCCATGGGCGTCTTAGATATCTCAATGGGGATTTTGAAATGCCCGATAATTCCAAACTCCAGGCTCCATAGAAACGGAAGAACGAAAATTCCATGGCTGCCTCCTGGCTTATTAATGCTATGGCTCTAGGCTCTAGCAATTAAACGAAGCTTTATGTTTCCACCTACTACATGAGAAATATGGGAAGCAATTCGAGAAGCGTATTCTGATGGAGAAAATGTCTCAAATTTTCAAAATCAAAAGCAAGTTGTGGCGCATGACACAAGGATCCTGCAGCCTTAACGAATATTATCTCGATATGACTGCACTCTGGCAAGAGTTGGATTTGAATAATGAGGCATCATGAAAAAATGCTGAGGATGCTGCCCAATATGAGAAACAAGCCGATAAGGAACATTTATTTGAATTCCTTGTTGGCCTCAACACAGATCTCGATGTCGTAAGGGGGAGAATACTTAGCCGTGTTCCACTACCATCTGTTTATGAAGCCTTTGCTAAAGTTAGGCGTGAAGATTCTCGACGATGAGTTATGCTACAAAATGATAATCATCCAACCAACAATGCACTTGAACCATCAGCACTTGCAGCTAGAGGTGTTGATTCAACACCTCAAGAAACCAAAAAAACAAACTTGTCTGTGAGCACTATAAAACGGTAGGCCATACGAAAGAAACTTGTTGGGATATTCATGGAAAACCTCCAGATTGAAAACCCAAAAAGCCCAAGGGGCGTGGTTATCATGTCAGTATAGAGAAACTTAATGATGGAAGTCTCGCACCTCAAGCATTCTCATATAATCAATTCACTAAATTTATGAATTTTTTAAACACACTCCAAATGCCTGGTTTGTCCCACCAACCAGCAGCAACCATAGTTCACAACAGTAACTTCTTACAAGCCTTAAGTGCTATTCAACATTTATGTATTGGAAGATTCTGGATTGTTGACTCTAGTGCTTCTGATCATATGACGAATAACCGTGCACTTTTTACTACTTATACACCGTGAGATGATTCTCTTAAGGTTAAAATTTCTGATGCCTCTTTATCTCTTGTGGTTGGGATAGGAGATGTCAAAATTTCTGATAAGCTTACTCTTTACTTTGTGTTTCATGTTCCCAATTTGAAGTGTAATTTATTATCTGTTCATAAACTGAACAGGAACAAACATTGCCATGCTAACTTCTATGCCACTTATTGTGTGCTTTAGGAACTGTCAATGGGGACAATGATTGGCAGCACTAAGGAATTTGACGGTCTTTACTACTTTGATGCACCTTTCATAAAGAATGGTAGTATTAGCAATAAAGTCACCCTTCCTAGGAATAACGACCTTTTGCTATGGCACCAACGTTTTGGTCATCCAAATTTTCAGTATTTAAGTCAAATGTTTCATTATCTTTACTCTAATAAAGATGTTTCCAAGTTTTATTGTGATGTTTGTGAACTCGCAAAGCACTAAAGAACTATATTTTCTCACAATATTTATCAAACATCCCAACCTTTCGCCACTATCCATAGTGACCTTTGGGGACCCAACTACATTTCAAATCGTACCCATAAAAAATGGTTTATAAAACCTATTGATAATCATACTCAAGTTTGTTGGACCTACCTCCTCAAAGAAAAAACTAAGGTTGTCTCCGTATTTGTGAATTTCTACCATATGATTATAGCCCAGTTCCAAACCACCATAAAAATTCTTCATACTGATAATAGTACAAAGTTCATTAGTAGTGCCCTAGGCAATTTCCTTAAATAACACAGCATTATTCATAAAAGCACGTGTGCTCACAACCCCCAACAAAATGAGATAGCTGAAAGAAAAAATCACCACATAATGGATGTCGCCAAAGCCCTTGTTCTCACCCATAATGTGTCCAGATGTTATTAGGGTGATGCTATCCTAGCTGCCACCCATCTTATCAATAGGATACCTAGCCATATCTTATCATTCCAAACCCCCCTTGATGTTCTTCATACTACCCATTCCAATCCTCACCTTCAAAATCACCTCTCTTTGCAAGTCTATGGGTGTATTACTTTCGTTCACATTCATCACAGAAATAAAATTGATCCCTATGAAATCAAATATATCCCTATGGCAAGTTATGAGCCAGAAGCCTCTATGGCTGTATTAAGATGAGAGGGGAGGGGGAGGCTTTATTAGTTTTATGAATTAAGATAAGATTCTTGCTCATGTCATCCAGTAAAGGCATTTTCCTTTCTTTTCGCTCTATATGTCTTAGGTTCTATCACAGATGAGGATAGTTATAGATAACTAGTTCCATCAAGCTTATGGCAAGTTACAACAAGGAAGCCTTCATGGTTGTATTATAGAAAGAGAGAGAGGGCCATAGGCAAACTAGACTCTTGGGCTGGGAGAGGACAAGAATGAAGGGATCTATTAGGCCTAAGATTGGACAATGCATGAGTAAAGAGACAGAACCATCTTTACAGGTAAGGGTATGGTATCTACTGAAGGTGATTCATGGGTCAAGTATAATAATCCAAGACCATAAATATCTTTAGGACAATAGGGAAGAGTAGATAAAATATGCTCTAGTATTCAACCAAGTGAGCTTGTGCATGTGTGTACAAAAGGGAGAAAAGGAGACATATCCTAATCAAGCTCATGGACTTGTCAAGGATAATAAATCTCCTTATCAAAGCAGATTTGGACATTACCTAATAGGCACCAAGGAAGAAAAATAAGCACCCCAAGAAAGGAATCAAGAAAAACCACAAGAACCACCTAAAAATTCCCGTTGCGGTTTTCCTAGCAACATTGTCAAGAAAAGTAGTCCACTCTAACAACTTAGGAGCCAATTCATAGATTTTCCAGCTTAAGCCACAATTGACAATCCTTCAAGGTTATAGATTGACTTTTTTTATAACATACAGCTTGACTTTTTTTCTTTTCTTGTTTTTTTAGGGGGGGGAAGGGGTGGTGAGAAAGTGATTTTGATAAGATTCCAGATAATATTTCCATGAAGACTTATTCAAGAAGAAAGCGTCAAAAGATAAATACAGATTGATTTCATTGTTTATTTTGCTCAGTATTTGATATTTCTTTAGATTTAGTATTTTATTTAGTCAGATTTTATTCTTTAGATTTTATTTAGATCTAGTAGTTTATCTATTTAGATTTTATTCAGTATTTTAGATTATAGAAGATATTATTTAGTTATCTAGTTATCTAGATTTTATCCATTATTTTAGATTGTATTTAGCATTATAAATATGACTAGCAACTTAGAAGCTATCATATCAGTTTATCAATAAAATAGTCTTTTAAACCTTTTGAAGATTCTCCTGAGCGTGGCTATTAAGAGAAATATAGAACGAGATTCTTGTTCTATATCATCCTAATAGAGTTATTCTTATTTTAGTTATTTTGAGCACCTATCAGATTTATACTTAAGAAACGTGTAGCTTAAAGAACTAGTAATAGTAGAAGAGTAAAAGTTAGTTTGTTACTATGGGAATATTTGGTATTTATTGTAAATATTGTAGAGTCTTTATTAGGCTTTATCAGACTTTATTAATATTTATTTCCCCTTGTGTATGTATGTAGTCAGCTTGTACTCAGTATTGAATCAATGAGAAATATTATTTTCTCTCAAATTCCACATGGTATCATAGCAAATGATCCAAAATCATCATTAAGGTTTTATGAGTTATTGATTGCGTAAGGTATTCCGTCCAAAACCCTAGGGCTGTGATGCAGGTGATGTTCAAGACTGTCGTGGCTCTCATCGCCCCCCTACGTGTGCTTGGACAGCTCCGATCGATGAAACCCCCCAGGACATGGCGATCGCTGGCATGCGTGGCCCACATGCACCGCCTAAAGGTCCGACATCAATGCTTGCCTGGTGGCACGTGGAAGCGCATGAAACCTCTATTCAGGCCGTGACTTCTCTTTTTGGCAACAAAGACCCTTTTCCGACAAGATCCAGGCATCATCCATAATTGGGTACCCTTCCCTCCACATTCAGTTATCCCTATAGGGTGTTTAGGGGTCTATTTGAAGGAGTTTGGAGTGCTCTTAGAATGTGGGTACTGATTCTCCTCTACTATATGGGTTTCATCTCATGGAAAGCTTTAAGAGTGGTTATTTGGACTGTCCTAAATATTCTAATAAAGGTAACCAGATTGAGACCATAGTGTCAGCGGCAAAATATAGGCCTAAAGCAACAATTGCCAAAAGAGGAACGTTTCTTCAAGCCTTACAAACATCTCACAAAGCCATAGTCTGGATTGTTAATTCAGGAGCCTCCGACCACATGACTCATTGTCATGAGTTGTTTTCCACTTACACTCCATGTGTTGGAAACGTTACAGCTAAGATTACAGATGGCTCCTTAGCACCTTAATGGGAAAAGGGAGTATTCTAATTTCTGATTCTATAGTGTTGGCATCCGTAGTTCCTAAACTTGACTACTACTTACTTTCAATCAATTAATTAACTACTCAGTCAAATTGTTATAGTAAATTTCTCCCATCCCATTGTGTATTTCAGGACTTATCACCTAGAGCAACATGCAATGGATACATTCACTGTGTAAAAAAGCAAAGCATGAAAGGTAACTCTAAAGCTCTATTGCCTAACATACCTTGTTGGATATGTGATCTAGAAGAGCTCGAATAAGCCATGGTAATGATCTAGATCCTAGAAGTCGAACAATCGAAAACGTGTGAGGTATTCCAAAAAATCCACTATGCAGTCGTGCAAAACTTTGATGAGCAGAGTTCAAATCCTACCATAAAAACAGAATAATGTGAGAAACACGCATGTCCTCAAGAAAAAAAAATTATTTTATGAGTATCACAAGAAGTCTTTCAAAAAATAATATAGGTAGCAGATGCTTGAAGGTGGTAAATCCATACAAAGAGTATACTACTAATAGCCCCTCTAGTTTAGGAGAGAGGAAAGCCAAAATAGACAACCAGACAAACAAGATAGTTTTGAAGGACAAAAGAGGCGAAACTAGAAGGAATAACTAAGGTGTTGGGCACAACTGTGGCTCTCAAACAATATCACAATTGGTTTATTATTATTGATTGCAGATTAAAAAAGAATAAACAATTGATATAGAATAGATTAAAAAAGAATGTGGATAATGCTTACTTGAGTGCCGCAATAGAAGTTAGGCTTGGCAGAGGGTATAGATGGCTTTTGTAGAGGAATAACCTTTGCTGATCTGATAAAACGTTGAGTGGTATTGCAAAGAACGAAATTGGGCAAAAAATCACTTTGCATCTCTGACCAAATCTAGCATACACACAAACAAATTATATGAAAAGCTAAGAAATAGCTCAAGCCATGTACTATCATTTACCATTCAAATAGTGATGTCTAATTTGGTATAGCAGCAAAATAATCTTCATATTCATAATTATTCATATGCAGAGAGAAGAAAGACAAACACCTGAGAGGCCAGTCGGCTAGAAAAGGACACGAGAGAAATGTTCTCTTGCATCTCATTCAACATGAGACTGAAGGAATCTACGGAAAGATCTCTAGACAGTAATTCATGGGCATGTTTTAAGACATCCAATAACATCTCTAGCTCCTGCAATAAAATGGTTGTGTTGCTTCAGTTAATGATTCTTTAAAAAAAAAAAAACATCCGTAAGTAAACCTACTAACCACTATGGCACACAGGTCCTGACACTCAAAACGATCAAAAAGGAACTCCAGATTTTCACGGAAAACCTTGTTCATCCTTTCAACAATCAAACTTCGCAGATTGATAGTCCTCCCAAGTAGCTGTGCATCATAACAGTTAGTAGAATGCAAAGTATATGAGAGGAATGCTGTTCCGGCCATAGTGATCAATCAGCAGGCACATATCTGAGGAATCTTTATGATATGAGCTTGTGTGTGCACACATGCATCTGACTTGGAGGGGGGTTATATATGGAAGGAGGGATAGACCATGAAACATGAACCTACTAGACGGTAGATCATGTACATATTTATTCCTATTCAAGCTAAATTGACTACTATATGTCTCTGAAGACTTTGACAATTGAGGGAATTTGTAATTGGGTTATGATTTTAATATCTACACTACAAAGTTAGAGAGGTAGAGTTTGACAAACACATATTGCTACACATATTGACACGTCGTTATCTAGCTTTCACTTGAATGCACCAAATCAAATCATAGGAGGCAAGCACTAAGAAGGAATTAAGCATTAACCTTGACTTTAGTCATCTTCAGCAGCATATTGAACCTCATAGGCTGGACAGAATACCTTTCAGCATTGTCTGAGGCGAAGAGGAAAGAAGGATCTAGTAATTCACTGCAGTATTTGCAAGCAACATAAGAAGTTTGCAATATATCAACAACAAAGTTGAACAACCAAGAGAGGAAAAAGAGCACACCTTGCTGCCCAGCTTTTATGATATGTGAAAATAGTTTCACATAATCTTGAAACAAATATATCAAAACAATGGTCCACCTGTTAAGAAGTTCAATGTAAACAGTTTAAGAATAAACTGGCACATGTGAAACCATTTATTTTACTTCAAAAAATTAAGCGCTTTACTTAATTACATTTAACTTGCATACACTTAAGAGCAATTGCATAACTTAATGAAGAATTTTCAGTGCCCCATGCAATTGATCTAATAATATCTAGCATGGGGTTAAAAAAAAAAGGATTGGGAAAATGACAATTACAGATCTTGTGAAAGCATTAATGAAAATTGTTATGGAAGGACTATGGTTTTTATTTGTAACTAATAAATAAATAATTATTAAAATAACCAATGAAATGTGACTCATGAATTTAAGTAAAGTTAGTTATGAATTAAAGGAATGTTACTTAAAAATCAATGGAAAGTCAATTGTGAATAGATAAATGCTTTGTCACCTATGAATTTAAGGATACTCAGTTGTGAATTTGAGGAAGGTATAAATTTAGGAAAATTCAGCCATAAATGAATAGATAGTCTCATGAATTTATGAGTCAACACTTGTGATTTAGAAACAGTCAAATATCAATTTAAAGAAGTCACTTGTAAATAAAAGAAACGTCAATTGTGAATAGATCTAAATAGTTATAATTGTAAATCAATGATTTAGAGACTCTTACATTTCTGAATACCTATTCACAACTGATTTTTCATAAACTCACAAGTGACTTTCCCAAAATCCACAAGAGATTATCCTAAAATTCACAAGTGATAATATATACATTCATGAAACTATCTATCCATTCATGATTGATTTTCTATATATTCACAAATGATTTTCCTTAAATTCACAACTTTCCTTAAATTAATGAGTAACATTCTATTGGTCATTTCAATAATTAGAAGTATTTTAACAAAGACCATGGTCTTCATATGAAATTTCAATAACCTGTGGTCTTTAATTGTCATTAATATCTATACAAGGTCCATAATTTTCAATAATTTGAGATCTTTAATTGTCATTAATATCTTTACAAGATCCATAATTGTCATTTTCCCCAAAGGATTATACCTCAGCTTCAATTTCATCATAGAGGAACCGTTGCTTCAGCACGACTAGTGCTTGCTGTGCTGAATCATTATAGACGTCAAATGGCATCAGAACACTCTCCAGAAGCCCACAATTTGGTGACTCAAGTACACAATCCACCAACATCCAGGGAAGAGAGAACTCAATTGGAAACTATAGGAGCAAAATCACAATTTTTTATTCAAGGAAGAGGAAGAAAAACAGACACGTATGAGCACGAATCAGAAAGTAAAGAAGCTACAACTTTAGATCTAGATGCTAGAAAAAGAAATCTCTAGCAAAACAAAGGAAACTCTAAGCAAATATTGACAGATCAGAGTTTATATATATACATATATATATGGAAATCCATCAGAAGGATGTAGAAAGATCAAGATATATGCAGCTTGCTACAACCATTTTTTCCTTCAGATAAAATACATTGCCACATCAAATATGTAGACTGACTTCCATCTTCCTTGAGAAGTCTGGAGAAACTAACAAGATCTAGTTTGGGGTGTGGGCAGAGGTGGCAATTAGACGACAGATATTCTCAAGAGGAAAATCATTATCTGCCAGAGGACCCCCAAAAAAAAATGGAAAAATTATATGCAAAGCAAGCCCATACATACAATAATTCACAGGTCCTTACTTAACAACTTAAATTGTTGGATGAAGTGGTTCACATAGAATCATCCCTATGAACAAATTCCTATGAGCAATCAAAACGCAATATCTTGCAAGTATCTTGGAAAATTTTAAGCTGCTCCGACTTGAGGGTAGTCGTAGAACTTAACAGAGAAGTTCATTTCAGCTTACTTCAATTTCCTGTCTTAATATGACCACAACAACGCCTATTTAATGCATGACTGATAATTAAGCACATGCTTAAGAAGAAAAATGTGGTTCAGAAAAACAGAAAATTCAGTTATATGCACACACAAGAGTGTATTTATTTACCTGAATGACTCGAGAAGACTCTAAATAAAATTCCCGAAACCATAAGAAACCAAGGTCTGTCAATGTTGCAACAGTGACTGCAAGCATGATTGAACTTCTAAGAGTCAATAAAACTGAAGCATGTCTAGAAACCAAAGCATTCTATACCACTTGTAAGTTCAGAAATATCTTAGAGAGTCCCTGGCTTTCAAGATAATTTCTAAGTACTGGTGATCACCATGACATCTAGTTAATTTATGATAAAACATAAAAGAGGGATACAATGTAAAAACCAAATCTTAAGCCCGTCATGAATGATGTAAAAGGAATTATCTTCACCATCCAATTCACATAATGTACAATGGCCAAATATATATCATATAACAATATATAACCCCCAAAAGATTCAGATTTAGCCACTAATCTGTTATAGTTTTATAAAATGTTAATATTAGTTAGTTAAAACAGTTTAGTTAGCGGTGCTGTGAAATTAGCCGTTAGGTAAGTGAGTGAGCCTATATATATTAAGGCATTTGTATTATAGTTTCTTATCTCAGCAGTGACTAAATACGATTTCCTTTGTTCCTCAATTTCTCTCGACCTCTCTTTAATCTCTCATTTCTCTCTGACTCTACCTATCTTTCTGTTCTTCTCTCATCTTTTCCCTCATTTCTCCCTAGTTCCTACAAGCTCAAATTATTCCTACACAATAGTGGTATCAGAGCTGACGCTCCTCGGCCTCTCTCTCTCTCTCCCCCCTTCTCTCTCTCCGGTTCGCATGATATATGGTCAAGACTCAGAGACACATCAAACAAGATCAGCATCAGATGGAAGACTACTTGGTAAAGATTGAAGAAAATAATGGCAAGATTGAGGCTTTGACTGACCTGGTTGATGGGCTCTCCCAGCAACTCCAATTACTGGTTAAGGATCGAGATGCTGAACGAGAGGGTAATCCTCGAAACGGACAGAACCTTGACCGGCACTATGACCTTGATGATCGTAGGCACCGAGAAGGGAATGATAGAAGAGAATATAGGAGACCCACTCAGTTTACGAAGATGGAGTTTCCCAGGTTTACGAGAGAGGATGCGCTCGGCTGGCTCTTGAAGTGTGAAAGGTATTTTGAGCTAGATGAAAAGCAGGAAGAATCCAAGATCAAGATTGCAAGTATGCATCTTGACCCACAAGCCTTCCAATGGCATCAAGCGTACGAGAAGACGTGGGAAGGAATGCGGCCTACCTGGGAAGAATATACCGAGCAAATAAAGGACCATTTCGGACTAGTTCATAAGACCCCGATGAGCAACCTCGCTTGCCTGAAGCAACGTGGAACGCTGGTCGACTACAACGACGAGTTCGATATGATAGCGTGCAAACTTCGGTTACCCGAAGAATATCTGGTAGACATCTATCTATCGGGTCTTCAGGAGGACTATGAAGGACCAATTCACCTATTCAAGCCGCACACTTTGAGGGAAGCTCGGAAATTGGCCAGAATGCAAGAAGTGATGACGGTGAGGCACATTGAAAAGAAGACGCAAGGTAGGAATGGAGGGTACGTGGCTCAGTCACCTTCGGCCACACCGTCCTCAAGCCAGAACACGTGGGCTGTTAATAAAAATGTGTTAACTAGGAGTGGGACCCAACCGAAGGAAAAGATGCCCTCTTTATCAGTTAAAAATGTTTCTTTTAGTCAAAAAGGCAGCAGACCCACTACGAAGATCCTCTCGGCTGAAGAGGAAGCTGAACATAGAATCAAAAACTTGTGCTTTTATTGCCATGAAAAATTCTCCCGCGACCACAAATGCCCTCAAAGACAAAAATTGCAATTATATTTTATTAAGGTGCAAGATAAGTCTGAGGAAGATGCTTAACAGGAAGAGGCCAGTGAGATAGAAGAAGATGAGGACCAGTCTTTTATTTCTCTCCATGCCATTGATGGAGTGGATACTGTGTCCTCCATGAGGCTCACAGCCTATTGTGGGAAGAGACAGCTCCAGATTTTAATTGATAATGGCAGCACTCACGATTTTTTAGATCTTAGTACAGCCCAGAAGCTGGGTTGGCAACCTGATGGAGCTCATGAAACATTGGTGGAAGTGGCAGGGGGAAGAAGGCTTAGAATACATGGCATTTGGGAAGGATTTAAATGGAAAATGCAGGGCTTAGAATTTTCTTTTGATTTTAGAGTTCTTGATTTGCTTACTTATGATTTGATACTTGGGCTTAAATGGCTCAAAAGTATTAAGAATGCTTTCTGGGATTATGAGTCTCTATGTTCTTTTTACTTGAAGGGAAAATGTGTAAGCTTCAAGCTACCCCTCCCAATACCTTACGTGTGGTGCAGCCAAAGAGGCTGGAAAGTGAAGATTTTAATACTGGTCAGGTATTTTTGTTACAATTAATACCAAAAGGGCAGGAAAGGGTGGAAATTTTCTCTATCCAGTGCTGTTCAGAAATTCCAGAAGTAATCTCTTCCACATTACAAGAGTTTTCTGATCTCTTTGAAGTGCCTAAAGGGTTACCACCTTTCAGGAAGGGGCATGATCATTCTATTGTTCTTCAGGAGGGAACTAATCCTATAAACTTAAAACCTTACAGATATCTCTCAGCTCAAAAAGATGTTATTGAAGGTTTAGTGGGAGAGTTATTGCAAGGGGGGTAATACAAGAAAGCTCAAGTCCATTTTCTGCTCCTATAGTTTTAGTTAAGAAAAAAGATGGAACTTGGAGAATGTGTATAGACTATAGAGAATTAAATAAGAAAACAGTAAAAAATCAATATCCTATTCCTTTGGTAGAGGACTTTTTGATGAATTGAATGCTACAAAATATTTCACTAAGCTAGATCTTAGAGCTAGTTATCACCAAATTAGAATGGTGCCTTAAGATGTCGGGAAAACTGCTTTCAAAACGCATAGTGGGCACTATGAGTGGCTGGTTATGCCATTTGGCCTAACTAATGCCCCAGCCACATTTCAAGAAGCCATGAATAGCATATTTCGTCCTTATTTGAGAAGGTTTGTGCTAGTATTTTTTGATGATATATTAATTTATAGTGCTAACTTGGATGATCATGTGCAGCATCTTAAGGAAGTATTTTCCATTTTGAGGAAACATCAGTATTATGTCAAGATGAGCAAGTTTCTTTTGCAGCCAATGAGGTAGAATATTTGGGTCATCTAATTGGTAAAGGGACAGTTAAAACAGATCCAAAGAAGATTCAAGCAATTGCTGAATGGCCTGAACCTAAGACCATGAAACAACTAAGGGCGTTTCTAGGATTGGCAGGTTACTACAGAAGGTTTATCAAGGGTTATGGAGCTTTAGCCAAGCCACTAACTTGCCTTCTTAAGAAGGATGGGTTCAGATGGTCAGAAGTGGCCTCCAAAGCATTTAATAATCTCAAAGAGATATTAACATCAGCACCTGTCCTTTCTCTTCCTGATTTTACTAAAGAATTTGTGGTGGAGACAGATGCATGTGGTTTTGGCGTGGGGGCAGTACTAATGCAGCAGGGGCAGCCAATTGCCTACTTTAGCAAAGGTTTAGCTGAAAGACACCAGCACCTTTCTATATATGAAAAGGAATTAATGGCGGTGGTCCTTGCTGTCCTTCATTGGCATCAGTACCTTGAGAGGAAATGGTTTGAAATCAGGTCTGACCAACAAAGTCTGAAATATCTACTGGGACAGAAGCTAAAGACCTCATTGCAGATGTTTTGGGTTGCAAAACTAGCTGGGTTTGACTACAAAATACAATATAAGAAGGGGAATAATAATTCAGCAGCTGATGCTCTCTCAAGAATACCCAAACAGCAACTGATGCAGATGGTTTTAGATACGTCTTCTCCTGAATTGCTGGACAAAATCAAGGGAAGTTGGGGAAGTGATGCTGTGGTTTCAGAGATACAAAAGAAAGCTCAAGAAAATAGTGGTACATGGGGACATTTTTCTTGGGATGGAGAATTGTTGAGAAGGAAGGGAAAGCTAGTAATTGGGAGTGAGCCTAATCTGAAACAACAAATTTTGGAGTGGTTACACTCTAGTTCCCAAGGAGGGCATGCAGGAATTCAAGCCACTTATCATAGGATTAAAGCATTATTTTGGCAGAAAAAATTGATTAATGAGGTGACAGATTTTATCAAGCAATGTGATACATGTGCTCGTTGTAAATATGAAGCTATTGCTCCACCAAGGCTGTTGCAACCTCTTCCAATTCCAAGTCGAGTTTGGGAGAGTATTACAATGGATTTTATAGAAGGACTTCCTAAATCTCATGGTAAGGATACAATTTGGGTATTAATTGATAGAATGAGTAAGTATGCCCATTTTATACCTCTTACTCATCCTTATTCCGCTTCTTCTTTAGCACAACTCTTTATGGATACTGTGTATAAATTGCATGGTGCACCCGCTGAAATTATTAGTGATCATGACCCTATATTTGTGAGTGGATTTTGGAAGGAATTTCTGCAAGTTTTGGGAATTAAGCAGCAACTTTCAACCGCATATCACCCTCAAATAGATGGGCAATCTGAAGTCCTAAATAGGTGCTTAGAAACCTTTCTTAGATGTATGTGTTGGGAACAACCAAGGGATTGGAGCAAGTGGTTGTCACAAGCTGAATGGTGGTATAATACCACATTCCATACAGCCACAAAAGCAACCCCTCATGAGCTTTTATATGGTCAGAAAGCCCCTATTCATTGTCCTTATTTACCTAATGGTTCTGTTTTGGATGTTTTAGACAGGACTTTTTCAGCTAGAGAAGCTGTGTTAGCTGTTTTGAAGCATCATCTTCATCGAGCAGCCAATCTAATGAAACAAAAGGCTGATTCTCATAGGACTGATCGAGAGTTTGCAGTTGGTCAATGGGTTTTCCTTAAGTTACAGCCCTATAGACAAATTTCTGCTGCTGCAAGGAGTAATCAAAAGCTAGCTCCTAGATATTTTGGTCCCTACAAGGTCATTGCCAGAATAGGTGCTGTTGCCTACAAATTAGAGCTACCAGCTGAATCAAGAATACATCCAACTTTCCATGTTTCTCTATTAAAGTTTTGTCCTGACCCTAAAGTAAAGCAAAGGCATCCCCCTCTTGATTGGCCAGAGCTACCTCCAGCCTTAGAACCTGAAAATATTCTACAAAAACGAGTTGGAAGAAAGAAGGGACGGATTATTACTGAAATTCTGATTAAGTGGAAGCAATTACCTGATGAGGAAGCATCTTGGATGCCTCTACATCAGTTGCAACAAAAATTTCCTCACTTTGTTATCAATGATCCTTGAGGGCAAGGATCTTTTGAGGGGGGGTATTGTTATAGTTTTATAAAATGTTAATATTAGTTAAAACAGTTTAGTTAGCGGTGCTGTGAAATTAGCCGTTAGGTAAGTGAGTGAGCCTATATATATTAAGGCATTTGTATTATAGTTTCTTATCTCAGCAGTGACTAAATACAATTTCCTTCGTTCCTCGATTTCTCTCGACCTCTCTTTAATCTCTCATTTCTCTCTGACTCTACCTATCTTTCTGTTCTTCTCTCATCTTTTCCCTCATTTCTTCCTAGTTCCTACAAGCTCAAATTATTCCTACACAACATAATCTTATGATGAAAGCAGATTCTAATTCACTTTCTGGTCCTGTGGTTCTTTAAATATCAATTCACCCTTTCAAATTAACAGTTTTCCACGGTTGTGTGCTGGATGCTTTTAACATTGCATAAGATCCCAAAGGCCTAGATTTTAGGCACATGTATTATAGTTAACTAGTAATAGTAAACCCATTTTTATAGGAAGAATTACATACAAATCCCATTCAAAATAATGAATTACTCCCAAGTGCATTGGCAACTGAGGTTAAGTTGCCAATGGACCTGGGAGTAATGTGTTGTCATTTTCCTAATCTTGGTTGCCAATGAACCTAAGAGTAATTAATTGTTTTGAGTGGGACCTTGGAGTAATTATCTCTTTTTTATATCCCTTATTTCTGTTTCCAAGGGTTGGACTAGCCGCCATTTTGTTCTACAGATAACAAACATGAGACTGTGTAGTCCCAAGTTGATTGGATGTGCAACTCAGTGAAACCAGTGATGAACCTAGTAACATGTTCAAGAATTCTATCACTGCCACATCCTATTAAAAACATCATTTCACCCCAAGGTATTGTGATCATTGCTATGTAAACACTAGCCAAAAGAACTTAAGTACAAGGAGGAATATTAGAATTGGGTAGAATTAGAAATACTAATAAAACCAAGTTATTTCTGCTTTGACCTATCAAATATTATGCCCAAAAAAAAAATAAGAATATATTTTCTGCACCAACGCACTTGACCCATAAGAGTTTAATCTATCAAATAAGAATAGGCCAAGAGAATGAATGCTTCTCATGCAAACGTTGATACATGATCAGTCTAAGAACCTTACCTGTATAGTCCAGAATATGAAGGAAAAAACCAAGCTTGTAGAAAAATGTCTCCAGTTGTTTTAAATCATTAACAGGAATTTCTGAAGCACTGTTGCCAAAAAGCCCACCAGGCCTCCTAAGGTTCCCACCAGAAACCACCTCATATATTAAAAACTGCAAGCAGTGCACCTGTATCAAAGAAATTAGTTTAGTAGCTACACTCCACAAACTAAAACAAACACATGCATTCACAGAAATAATTCATGAAGTGGTTGGTGCCAGAATATACAGCATGTGTCATAACTTAAGATAAAACATATATATCAATGAGTAAACAAGACCTCAGAGTTCAAGTGAACTGATTATTGAAGCCCAAACTAATAATTAATGGACATTTAGAAGTTGACTAATTGGTACAAACACAGTTGCGTGATGTTGGCAATTCATGGGAATTAATCTTCGATTTCTAGGTTAATCTCACAGCATTCCACTATATGGCTAATGAAAGAAGCAGAAAGAATGTACAGGGGCCTGCTCATTGGAAGCTGGTAAGAAAATTCAGTTTTTGTCAAGTACTATGGACAGCGTCAAGGGATGAGATGAGTCCCTTTTACTTAAGTTGTCTCATATTTTCATTTTATTCGTAACAAAATACATGCCTCAACTTAAAGAGAAGTGTATTAGAAATATAGCAGTCTCAGAGATTTAGAAAAAAGTTACTAGCAGTGCGTTCAA